GTATCAAGGTTATCCACATCAAGTATTAAGGTTATGCACATCCCATACATAAGAGTTAGTATCAAGGTTATCCTTATCCAGTATAAGTATCAGGGTTATCCACACCCAATACATAAGAGCAAGTATCAAGGTTATCCACATCCCATTCATAAGAGTAAGTATTAAGTTTATCCACATCCCATACATTATAGTATGTATCAAGGTTATCCATATCAAGTATCAAGGTTATCCACATCAAGTATCAAGGTTATCCACATCAAGTATCAAGGTTATCCACATCCAATACATAAGAGTATAAGTATCAAGGTTATCCACATCCAATACATAAGAGTATAAGTATCAAGGTTATCCACATCCAATACATAAGAGTAAGATCAAGGTTATCCTCATCAAGTATCAAGGTTATCCTCATCCAATACATAAAAGTATGTATCAAGGTTATCCTCATCCCATACATAAGAGCAAGTATCAAGGTTATCCACATCCCATACACAAGTATCAAGTTCTTGCAAATCCCATAAATTTAGAATCTCAAATTGATATTCTTGTGAATCAGCAATTTATGTAAGTAACACATACAAACTAAACAAGCTAAATCAGAGATTCTGTGTCCCCCACTGAAGGAAAAAGAAGAAAATGTGCTGACCTGGGAGGGGGTGGGGGTCGATGTGGTGGGGTACTTTTAGAAGGGCAGGAGGGCCATAGGGAGTAGTGGTGTAAAATTTAATTGAAAAAACTCTCAAGTTTCTTGAGATATTGCCCAGAAACAGAAGGTTTACACACATGCTCACAGAATATATGAATTTACGACCTTGACTTTTGTCCTTTTGACCTCTAAATCAGTAGGGATCTTCTTTAGGCCATAGGGAGTTGTGATATAAAATTTCATTGCCAAAGTTCAAAGGCTTCTCGAGATATCATATGGAAACCAAAGTGTTTATGACCTTGACCTTTGACCTTTTGACCTCAAAATCAACAGGGATCTTCCTTAGGCCATGGGTAATTATTATTCAAAATTTCATTGCAAAAGCTCAGAGGCTTCTTGAGTTATTGTGTGGAAATGAAAGCAATACAGACAGACAGATCTACAAATGAACAGCTAAACTGACTGACAGATAGACAGACAGACCAAAATTATATCACCCACTCTCAGACAAAAAGATAATGAATTAAGATGAGTATTCATTTCATGAATCCACATTTATTGAGTTTCACTGGAATCTTTTATCCGCAAACTTTGTTGTCTCAAACAATGTGAAAGGAAATGCTGGAATAGAAGTAAATTACATTTTCTGAAAAGGAATAACCAATTGTAAGTTACTAAGATAAAAAATAAAAGTAGATTTTGTTTGTGATATCTGTAAACTATAAATTGTTTATAAGGTAAAATGTTGAAAGTTATGAAAAATCTTCATGAGCAAGAAAACTTTTAACATCCACGTCATACTTGAACCAGTCTTTTTTTTTTTTCAAAGCTATCAATGTTGCTTGTTATGGATTTCAGATAAAATCTATGCTATATTTCAAAATGTTTTTTATAATTTCCATTGTTAGTTCACTTATTCTGAGGACTCTCTTAGTTGCTGGATTCATATCTGTCTTTTCATTATTTCTTCTTCCATATGCTCCGATGAAATACAATGTGTCAGATGAATATTAGTAACTAATTGGTATCATCTTCTTGTGGTCCAAAGTTCAGTAATTATCGGCCTCAGACACATGAGAAAACATAAAGTTGACTTAAGATTTGTACAGAAATGTTTCCCACCGTATGACACACCTAAACAAAACAAGAGGCCCACGGGCCTTATAGGTCACCTGAGTAACATGTAACAACTTTCCAACAACTGAATTTTGTTTGACCATTTTAAACCAAAAGCCTTGAAATTCACAATTTTGAAAGAACCACCATTGTTTATCATAACTATACACTTAGCATGCTTATTTTGGTTACTTAATACCCAAGGCAGATCAGATTAACAGAGAGAAAATGCATTTCCACTTTATAACCACCAGTTGTGCTCACCAACCCAGAGGAACCACTGACCCTGGGACCACATATTTCAAAATTTTGGAAACTTTATAAATTTCATTTCATCAGAAATGGGTGATTAATATCAAAGAGCAGATTTCAAAGTATTACTTTATTTTCAGACTGTGTACCCCCCCACCCCCACCTGCATCTGCAGTACCCCTAATACAGGGGCCCTGAAATTAACCATTTTGAAAGAGGCATCTTTCTTCATCATAAATATATACTTAGATCATTGGCATTGTACCAAGGAGCAAAGGAAAAGATTTCCAAATATAATCATTATAGGGCCCCACCCTAACACCAGAAACCCTGACCTAGGGGTCATGAAATTCACAAATTGGAAAGAAGCATCCTTCCTCATTATCACTATGTACATAGTTCATTGGTTTTATACCCAGGAGCATAGGAGAAGATTTTCAAAGAATTTATGCATTTTCACTATATAATCAACAGAGCCCCGCCCTAACACCAGAACCCCTAACCCTGGGGCCATGAAATTCATAATTTTGGAAGAGGCAGACCTATCCAATATAACCATGTACTTGGTTAGTCTATTTCATATGGAGGAGAAGAGAAGAATATTTTTTAAAGAATAAATGAATTTTCAATATATAAACAATTAAAGAGCCCCGCCCTAACTCCAGAACCCCTCACCCATGGGCTATGAAATTCGCAATTTTAGAAGAGGCATTCTTGGTCATCATAACTACCAGGTTTGTTTAGCAGAGAAGAAGATTTTCAAAGAATTAATGTAGTGTCACTACATAACCAATAGAGCCCCCCACCCCAACACCAGAACCCCTGACCCAAGGGCCATGAAATTCACAAATTGGGAAGAAGCATCCTTCCTTATCATAACTATGTACATAGTTCTTTGGTTAGATATCCAAGTGCAGAGGAGAAGATTTTTAAAGAATTTATGCATTTTCACAATATAATCAATAGAACCCCACCCTAACACCAGAACCCCTGACACTGGGGCCATGAAATTCAAAAATTAGAAAGAAGCACCCTTCCTTATTATAACTATGTACATTGTTCTTTGGTTAGATATCCAAGTGCAGAGGAGAAGATTTTTAAAGAATTTACGCATTTTCACAATATAATCAATAGATCCCCGCCCTAACACCTGAACCCCTGACCCAGGGGCCATGAAATTCACAAACTGGGAAGAAGCATCCTTCCTTATCATAACTATGTACATAGTTCTTTGGTTAGATATCCAAGTGCAGAGGAGAAGATTTTTAAAGAATTTATGCATTTTCACTATATAATCAATAGAGCCCCGCCCTAACACCAGAACCCCTGACCCCGGGGCCATGAAATTCTGGAAGAGGCAATCTTATTCAACATAACTATGTACTTGGTTAGTCTATTTTTAATGCCCAGGAGCAGAGAAGAAGATTTTCAAAGTAACAATGCATTTTCACTATACAGTCTATTTAGCCCCGCCCTAGCACTAGCACCCCTGACCCTGGGGCCATGAATTTCACAATTTTGGTAGAGGACTCAATGCTGATTACAATTATGCCAACAGTTTGACTGCTTGATGTCTAGGAGCAAAGAAGAAGATTTTTAAAGATTGCACTAATTTTAGTGGTTTTTGCCCCACCCCTCAGGCCCCAGGGGGGCAGGGACCATGAAATTCACAATTTATGTTCCCCTTCACCCATAGATGCTGTGTGCCAAAATTGGTTTTTTCAGAGAAGAAGCTGAAAATGTTCAAATGTTAACGCACGACGCACGACAGACGGACAACAACGGATAGCAATAGGTCACCTGAGTTCACTCAGGTGACCTAAAAATGTATGAAAATTTCATTTAAGCATCTGCAATGAGTAGTTGCTGAAAAAAATACGACGATAATGTGTTATGAACAGCTACACACACGCACCCTCACACACAGAGACACAAAAAGGGTAAAACAGTATACCCCTTCTCCTAAGAGTGTGTATAGGAGGTATCGGCTTCGTATAATTATTTGCTGATTCAACTTACTGATAAAATTCGGTGTAAGATGAAAAATCTACCAAGTGATATTGAATTGGCTTAAAAATAAATGGAGCAACAAAAGAAAATACAAAGCTTCATTCAGTCAATGGCAGATAGGCAGGAAAACAAAGTGACTTTAATATCCGTTAAAATATATATTCTCTCTCTCTCTTTGTAATATTACACCAGATCAGTCGGTTACGTTCAGTATGCAATGAATAGAGCATGCATTTGTTGGACCACACCTAAAATATAATCTCCCTGTTTGATAGAAGTTTGCAATATACCCCGTATATTAATTGCGCATGTATAAAAAAAATATATAAAGAAAACTTAAACCTGTGAGAGGGATTTATATTATCCCCGTATCACCACTGAGTCATGTAGATTTAATATGAAAATTGAATCCTCTGCATTAAATTTAATTTTTTTTTCTGTTTTTACAGCTCACCGACCTGTTGGTCATTTAGAATACATGAAAGGAGTCATAGAGGAATGGGAGGCAAAGTCCAAAAGATGAAGCGAACGTTAGGAAATGAGTTTAATTGTAACAAATTGAAGTTAATAGGTTTCATGTAAATAAAAGAGTGTCAGATGTATCTATTTTTATTTTTGTACACCCAAACACCAGGAAGTATAACGGTGGTAAATCAAGACCAATTTTAACAACAAATCAATTATTGCGAAAAACAATTCTTAAATGCTCATCATATGAGTAATATACTTAGTTTTAAAGTGCATGTTGAAATAGCAACTCGCTAAAAATCATCGTATACAGCGATATTATCACTTTTTAAGGTTTGCCAAAGTTCGGCATGTCCAAAAATTTATTTTAACAATAGCTCAAAACTTATGATTGTGGTTTATAAAGTTAAAACTTTTACAGTCTATAAATATATCATTGATCAACATATAGAAAGTATCACTAGATAACAAATACTTCAAAAATATTTATTGAGAAGAAATCTTTTTTTTTTAAATGCATATATTTTTAACAAATAAACTTAATTCAGTACTTTTAGAGAAAGCCATCATTGCAGAAACAGTATATTACATTTATCAAAGAAGGGCAAGTTGGACTACGATAGCCTCTGAAAAGACACGAGGGTAATATCCTTGATTATTTTGTCAAAATGTTAAGATTTGAAACTGAAAGTACATTGCAAATGGCGGATTCTACAGGGGTCTTGTCTTTATACATGTCATGCTTTCAGTAGCAGCCTTTCAGAGACCAATCACGTCTAACTTGCCCTTCTTTAATAAACTTACATCATTTCTGCAATGATGGTTTTTACTAAAAGTACTGTGGAATTAAGCAGGTGCACCGTTTTAAAAAAATAATCCAATATATATAATATATTATATTTTTTAAATATTTGTTTTCAAGTGATACTTTCCATCTGTTAATCAATGATGTATTTATAAACTGTAAAAGTTTTAACTTTATACCTCGCATAGATTTGGAGCTATTGTAAAAATAATGGACATCTTGACCTTTGTCAAAACCTTAAGAACATTCTAAGATTTGAAAAAAATATAAATAGAAAAATTCATTTAAAAAAAAAAATTCACAGCATGCATTAAAAAGTATATATCTGAAAGAAATCAATTTTCTGAATACGCCTTTGTCATAAAACGGCAACAGGTGGATTTCCAAAGGGCTTCTCTATAGCTGCCAAGACGATGTTCCAGAATAGTTGTATCACAATTTTACCAGTTACGTACGTTGCATAAGAATTTTTACGTAGCAGTTCTTTGATGGTTGATGTCATATGTTTGTTATCAATATCACGCAACATGATAATCACTACCGCCTCCGGCCCCTGATTGCGGATCCGCTCCTGTGCTCTTGCGACCTCGAACTGACACCATTCATCCTGCGCAAACTCGTTGGACATCACCACGATAATTTTCTTGCTTTCCTGCATTTTCTCAATGATCTGGTCAGCAATGCTGCCTCCCAGATCGAAATCTCGCGAAGGTATACACAGACTATAGTAAAGCTCTTCCTCCAGTTTAGGTGCCAACGTCTGGAACACCCAACTCTCGTCAGATTCACAGCTTACGATGTAGCAGTCGAACAGATATTCAGACGAGTTGACCAATCTTACGTAGCCTTTCCTACGTAACCGAATCAGGTATATGATATTCCTAATAGTAGGAAGATGCCAATATATAAGTATGATTACCACAATGCATAGAAAAAAGCCCGAGCCAAGAATACTGCCGATCCATATCCAAGGGTTTTTCTCTCTACAATCTTCGGCGGTATAATTGAAAGATTCCAGTAGCTTCTTGTTCCAGGCAGGGGGTGATCTACAGACATATCGCTTGGGATATAGCGCCACTGTTACATTTTTGGTAGATTTTAGCCAGTCCCGGAACCAGAGAAGTTGACAGGAACAAGAAAACGGGTTGTTGGACAAGTCGATCTCCCGTAGTCTTATTTTTCGTGTGAACTCCAGAGAGGAGCTATTGACCACGGCGATGCTGTTTCCAGAAATGTACAGTTTTTGAAGATGTGTCAGCTTGTTAAACATGGCCGGATCCCATCCATACAAATTGTTACCTTTCATGATAATTATACTAATTCTTTCCATCCTGTCGAACGTTCCACGTGCAAGATAATTCAGTCCACAGCCCTGGAGGTTTAGTTTTTCAAGATTAACTAGGTGCCACAGAAGTGTTTTTAAAATTGATCCCGTTGGAATCGAATTGCTAGTAAGATCTAGATCTCTGATGTTTGGTGCAAATTTGAACAAATCATTGTTATATCTTCCTTTGTCGTCAAACTTAAATTTTGTATAACCAAATTGCAGTTTCTTCAAGGAAGTCGAGTTTAAGGCGAGATATCCGAGCCGCCTAAGTCTGATGTCACTTTCTAGTATGAGGGTTTTCAACACGGGCATGGCAGCAAAAGTATTGTTTGGGATGACTGTTATGTCTGCAAATAAAAGAGATAATTTCCAAAGGAATGGCAAGCATATAAAATCTTCCCTGGCGACTGATCTCAAAGAAGTGTGGCCCAAGTGAAGAGACCGTAAACGAGGTAAAAAACTGCCTCCCTTGTCATCACAGAAAGTAGGGACCTGCTGTAGGTAGGTATTTTCCAAACTTAATTTAAACATGTATTCCATGTTGTGAAAGTCAAAATCACTGTGAGATATGGGGTTGTTATTCAAAATTAAGGTTTTGACGTTAGGAATGAGTCGGAAAGCCTGTGTGCCGTTGAATGAATGCAAGTTATTATGGGATAAATCTATATATGAAATGTTAGAATCTTCAAGTCCATCGAACATATTTAAAGAAATGGTGTCCCATCTGTTATGCTGCAGAGTCAGTCTCTCAAAGGAACGACTAATATGATAAAGAGCTTTTGCAACCAATTTGCTTTCCAGCAAGCTCTCACGAGAGATGTCAAGTTTCACTAGACTGTTCAAGTCTTGGAACGTATCTGGATCTATCTTAAAAATCCCATTATCATTCAGATAAAGCTGCTCGAGCTTTATTTTAGTCAAATTGCGGACCATGTTCCGGTTGAGATGTGGTAGGTAGTTGTCCCTGTAAGTTAGCTGTTTGATATAAGGAGGAAGGGCGGGGATGTAGTTCAGTTCTTTGTGTCTGGAGGTACATGTTGCTCTCTTTCGTACCTTTGAACACTTGCAGTACCCGTCTCCACAGCGTGCTGTAACCACGAATAGTCTCACAAGAAGGACACACCACAGCCAAACTCTTCCCAGAGTCATCCTCAGCTATCTCTCTCAATTGATTTCCATTTCGTTTTTCTAAAAAAAATGATATGTCTTACATAGGTTTTTGAAACCAACAAAATGAATTTCTACTTGATTATGCATAGACATAGAGCGGTTAGGTTTTAAGCATGCTCAATATAACATGTATAAGGAAACATGAGAACCAAATCGAACCAATACCATCCAAGTATGTTCATTTATTTGTCAAGTGACCCCTTCTATTGAGAGGAAGAATAAATGTGGACCAGAATATGGCGGGATAATATTAGAGAGAATTAGGGTCCATTTCCTTCACAACATTGAGGAAGGATATGGCGGGATAATATTAGAGAGAATTAAAGTCCATTTCCTTCACAACATTGAGGAAGATGTCACAGGCAAATAATTATTCATTGTAGTAACTTCTCAAATTCTCACAACATCCATCCTTCCAGAGTAGGGCACTGGGGGGTGCATTCATGGTCGTTTGACCTCATGGCATTTTTCGATTGGTCTTTTTTTTTTCGACCAACTTCTTTCATTGAGAAGTACTATGAAATCTTGTAAATTTGGGTTTCATAAACAGGAAGGAAGCAGTTGACATATCAATACACACGTTATATGTTAATTTTGTTACTAAAAGGCTCAATGGGGTCGTGAAGAAAAAAGTTACAACAATAAGCATTTTAATTTCCTTCATGCAGAAGCAGTCGGTCCGTAAAATGACTAAATAACTGAAATAAGATAAATTTTACAATTTACCACCACGACTGAATGTAAACGTATTTGGATGAAATTTAGTAATTTTCAACCTACCTAAGATGCACTGTGAACGGCGGTGAAATTAAAACTTCCTCTATCATGCTTTAATCTGATGAGCTTCACTAACTTCAGCGTATGATTCATCTGACTTTTAAACAAAGTAGCTACGCTACTTTTTCTCATATATAAAACTTATAGTCGGAAATTTTAGCGAGTTGCTAATTTTGGCTTATTTATACGGTTTTGAAACATTCCGTTTAATTTTGATCGCTAAATTTTGTACCCTTTGTATGGGTAGAAAATAGTAAAGGACTTCTAAAAATTACAAGAAGTTTGTTTTGTTAAATATAAATATTTCATCTTGTATTAGTCTTACTCAAACATATGTATGAATCGGTATCAAACGTAGAATTAATTAAACCTACCAAACTCATCTAAAAGATGAACTTTCTTTCATTTACAGAGTCAATGAACTGTGTCTCCGCGCCAAAATTATTGGCATATACGATTAAATCAAGCAAGCGAAAGCCAAATATTGCACTCGCTAAAGAAACTCCCTTCACGATAAAATACGAATGTGCTTAGCTTCATTGTTACACTAGATCTCTATTTAGTTTCGTTTTTTTTTTCTAGAGCTGATTTTTTTTGTTTTATTTTTTGAACCCGCGACATGAAGATCGACTCCCTACTTCTATCCTCTCGAAACCAATTTCATTGTATCATATAAAAGCAATGGTGAAAATAGTCAGGTTGCAGATTTTATTTGATGAAATTTAATGTCAGAAAGTTAAAAAATATGATTAATCCACATTAAGGACAGATGATACAAACAAAAAATGGATGTCTGGATAGGTATATATTTTTTGACCTACTTTCATTGCAAATGATGCAAATAATAAATTTCTAGAATATAAAGAAATTGTAAACCTTCTGTGACGTTCAAAATTCTACCCTTCTGAAACCATCCTTACTATTCTGTACAAATATTTTTCACTTCAAATTCCATTTTTGTGCAACTTTGAATAAAAATTAAAAACTACGCGGTGAAACCTATTCATTTTATTCATTAAAGCATGACCCAAGTTGTTATTTTCAAACTTTTTGACAAAAGTTTGTTTGTATCATCTGTCCTTAAATTTGAGTCAATTTATATTTAAGTTATGTTTGACAAATTTCAATATCTTGGTTTTTCTCATTTTATTATTTTATAGAAATTATACAGTTATATAAGTGCTGATGTTCTCTTACAATTTGATATACGAGGTTAAGTGAATTAAGTGTACATGTATTTTATCTGGCACAAAAGAAGGAATGTATTTAAAAAATAACTATAGACAATTGTCTAAAAAAAATAATGTATTACTCTGAATATTTGGCAAGGGGATCAATTTAAGCCCTTATACTTACAATCACATGTATGTGATTTTTTTTTTTTTTTTTTTTTTTTAGAAAAAACAAAACTGCAGTTATTTTTTTTAGATTAGTGGTGTGTTTTTTGACATTCTTTATGGTTTTATCTAGAGTCAAAAGCATCAAGTAAAAAAAAAAAAAATGAATTGGTCAGTTCATGGCAAATGATTTTCAATTTTCGATTTCTCGACCATTTTATTTTGGCATCATTCAGGGTCTTAACCTGTTAAAATAAAAGTTATCACAGCTCAGTAAATTATATTTTATCAAGGGAATCCTATCCAAAGGAAAGAAATATTAATTATTTATACTGTATCGCAGATTTTCAAAAATAAATAAAAAAGTCATATTGATAAAAATGATGCATTCCATCATTTTTGGAGGTAAACTTTTTTTAAAGATGATACAATTAGTTGTATGGTGGATCTTAGTCAATATCAAAAGACACATACAGAGTCATAAACATTCTATTTAACTCCAGTTCTTGTAATACTTCTCTCAAAAATTCAAAATAAAGTTGTAAAGGGCAGTCGAGTACAGACACCCGTTGACAAGAATATCGTTAAATGGCGATATCAAGATTAAGAATACATTCAGTGACCATTAGACCAACATCAATATATAACCAGATAACAAAAAGGGCTATTGGCATTAAATGGCTTGGTTGGAGATACCCTGATAGGTGGGAGAATTAAATCCCCTGCGTTTATTTACAGATATCAGTTGTTTACATGAAAAAAAGCGCCGACCAGTTCTTGAATAAACGTAACGCTGTTTTATCTACCAAGTAGGGAATAGATCCTATTAAGTCTGGAAGCAATCATTACTCAACCAAGAGGTTTCAATTTGCCTTATCTAAAAAAAAAATCTGTACCACAAATTAACCGTGTCATTATGTTGGAAAAATGCGTATGTCTTTTAAGTTTTTATATATTGCATGTGGCATGTAATCACCAATTTGAAGGTATGTTAATATTTATCAAATCTTAAGAAATGAATTCCTTCTTCACAGAATTGAATATTTATCTGAAAACAAACGCTGTTTAAGAACTACAGACATAATGTAAATTGTTTTTTTTTTTTATATCAATTCACTTGTCATTATAAAAATGCTTTATCAGAGTGTTAATTTTTGAGTTATTTTTCGTATATGATCACGCAATTAATTTCTGATTAATTTAATTTAATTTAAGTCTACATGCTTCTGTCATGTTTTGCCAAAGAAAGAATTTTATCAAATATTAAAAAATGTCACCACATAAGAATTTTCAACAAAACAACCACACGTCCGACAAATATCCTCAAGTTTTCTCAATATCTCAGTCTTCGCATAAAAGTGATATTGGTTTTCATTTGTACGTTTTGAAAACAGGCGTTTTATCTGTGTTTTTCAGGGGGGGGCGCTTTTTTCCCTGTGTGTGACTTGTACTAATTAATGAATTTATGAGATTGGCCACTGTGATTTTTACCTTTTCCGCACTTATTTTATCAATTGTGATGAATTAAATATTCAAGGTGAATTATGTAAATATTTGTTGTCATTGAAATGCAAATTTAAGACATTCGGAGAATATTTTCTTCATGTAAAGTTTACAAAACCTATGGATGAATTTGATAAAGCTTAAAATGATATGAATCGTGAGACTGAGAAATTTATTTGATACCCCCTCCCCTTTACACACACACACACACCCTCCCTCTCACACACTCTTATGATAGCTTTTCAGAAAATTTGATTTTGTCAGCAAAGGTTTTACCCATTCTGAAAAAATAGTAAAATAAAAAGAAAGACATTTGAAACCTGTGATGTCAAAGCAAATTGTGTTACATATACATGAAAGTCAAATATATAAACAAAATATATATACATTTAGAATTATTAACCGGTTGACTGTATCAAAATTAACATAACATTTTCTTGACATGCATTTTTCTCAAGTAGCTCAATTCATAAATACAAAAAGACTTTAGAAGTAAATGCATTCCATTTCCTTTCATTCTTGATCGGAAAACTACGTGAACATATATTTCCATTTCAAAAGACAATAAATAAAGAAATAAGGAAAGTTGTTCACAAATCAAAGCGATGCACTGCATATAAAGTTGATTCAAATTAATTAATCTGAGTTTCAAATTAAGGACTACATGTATGTGAAAAAAGCTAAGGATACGAAAAAAATTCCTTACTAATATCAAACGTCTAATATATAGTTTAGAGGCTTGTGTTGCTTTTAAAATTTAAAAATGACATTAAATGCATTTTTATTTTCTCTGTAGATTACAGGAATCACCCGTGCATCAGGAAATGTGACAGCCATATTTCGATGACGTGTGAGTACAACTTCACCGTGGAGTACTATCACACATTATCCAAAGCATGCTTCAACTGTCCATACAACGTCACGGATTGTTCACGTCCACACTGCGTGGCGGCGGACGGGACAAAAAGGGGAATAATCACAGTCAATAGAATGGTGCCTGGCCCCGGGATCCATGTAAGTCTCAGTGGTCCTGATTTAAAATATCACTATGCTTAACTTATTCAGATTAGCTTAAAAATAGGTCTTCTGTCCAGTGTCAAAGAAAAGGAATATTTTATATCAAAATGAACACACTCTATAAGCCATTACGTAGCTTGTAATTAAGGAGGCCCATTTATTTATTTTTGCTATCAGATATTTCTTATTAAAATGTTTACTCTCTCAGTCTAATGAATAAATAGATGCAGTCTAGCATTTGCTATGTTACTACTTACCAGCGATCTATGCAAAGGGTTGAGTACTGGTGCTTCGTATCAACCACTTAATTACCGTATAAGTGGAAATGTTAGCGAGACTCAAATTTAGCGATTTGTCCTTAAAAACTGGTAATTTATTTTTAGCGAGATGTTATTTTAGCGATTTTAAAATGCACATTAAAGATGCTATTACAAATAAAACGCAATTAATTTTTAGCGATATTCAATTTTATCGATCTTGGCACCCTCGCTAATAATGCCAAAATTAAATCCTCGCTAAAAATTCTAGTTATGCTGTATTAAATTCAACAAAAATGTAACATATAAAGTGTAACATATATAGAATATCACACTGCTGTTTTGATCTCGGCCCTGGTATCAGCCCGAGCGGTTGGTATCGGCCCAAGCCCAGAGGGCGCGGGCCGAGACCATCCGAGATTATATAAGAGGCGCTGTCGCGCGTAGTCCAAAACGCCTGTATCAGGGCTGATACACCACTAGGTATATGATATATAAATTGATATGCATTGTCATTGGTCATCTTCAAAATAAATTTAATAAAAGTCATTCTGATTTGTTGCTACGAAGTATATTCGGATAGTGCTTGAGTTTCTGATTGACGATATCTCTTTTCCTGGATCACCCAGGAGTAGTAATGGTGCCCCGTTATTTCGTATTCATATGAATAGAATATAAGCAGTGGCCTTCAATTTGACGGATAGATATATCGATGTAGTTTTGTCAATACAAAGTATTCATTTTTATTCGTTGATTTGATATAATGTACTTATATACATTTGAACTCGAAAGAAAGGTGTCGATTAAGGCCACTCATCTATTACATACAAATATAGTTAGATTTATAACTAAAGAAAGACATTAACTGCAAACTTTTCCGATATAAAATTGTCACACGCAGTTCAAAAGTTTTTATAGCAAAATCTTTATTATAGGTTTCGTCAATTAATCCAGTATGGAAATCAGAATTGGTGTATATTTTGGTATTGTGCAGCTGTGTATGACAGAATTAAAAAATAAAAAATAGACTGCGGCTTATAGGTTTTGATTAGAATAATATAAATTTGGATCCAGCAATTGGTTGATTGATTAACTGTTTGTTGTTTTGCGTCAAATTTTACAATGTTCCACTCAAATAGATGGAAATATATGGAGAAAACGAACAGCATTCAAGCTCAAAGTCAATTTAACAATAAAAAATTGGAGCAGAGCAAACACGGATGTCCGAAAAAAAATCAGAAGTGAGATCAGGTTCCATGGAGGAGTGAGCATCCCCTATCGACAGGTCACACTCGCCGTGTGCTCCTTGTCATGATCTGGAAATATCGGGAAAATCCGTCGTTATTTCAGTGTGAATATAATGGCCTAACAAGTAGAATAAGTATGAAAAACGCCAGTCAGCATTTGACTTAATGATAAATTGAATTGTTGACATCATTGTATCGACCATAGAAATTACAAAATGATGACTTTAAAGGAGACTGCTGACATTCTTGTTTCAGCAATTTGTTTATAATTTACATCGTTTTAGAAATTGTTCATATGTAGAGCATGCTCTTGTGTATCGAATCAAATGAGAGATATGAACCCCGTATACAGGTGATGAAGGTGTATTGCAGCTTAACTAAGGAACTTGACAATTGAAAAGTAAAGGTCATCACGTTTATCATAAAGCTCGGTAGTTAGATAACAATTGACGTCTTTTCAAGTAAAATATCTAAATATTAAACAGATGTATCAGATATTAATATTATACTTTCATGTAAATTACTTGAATCTGATTCGTCGAGAAACATTTGATAAAAAACACTACTTACTTCTGAATAATGAAGCCACGCCCTCCTGCGTAGCAACAGTCAACTTTGCTTGACGACGGGTGTTATTCCAAAAAATTAGCGACTGCGCGGAATTTATGCGCAAACGGTTCACTCTAATATGTATTTGTATAAAACATTCAGTATAATATAATAAATATTGCATGTAGTTGAGTGTAACATTGAAAATTTTCACATTTTCCCTTCTCAAAACCATTGTCAACCTCGGGCTGCGCCTCGGTTGACAATGGTTTTCTTGGGGTGAAAATTTTCAATGTTACACTCAACTACATGCAATATTTATATATTATCCTTCAGAATTAGACAGTCAATCTGATTGGTTTAGAGCAGGTCAAGTGCAGGGAGACAACTCGTGATGTCTCCCTCACGCGCAGGGTGACAACTGTTATTTCCCTTCAGATGACAATGAAATAGCGTAAACAGGCATGCAGGGTTACAACTGTGTTGTCGCCCTTTGAATGAAACTATAGTGATTTAGCGAGATAACTCCTAATTATAAGTACAGTTGCTAAATATGCGGGATCGGTGAACAATAAATTCCAACGATGACGTCAAAGTTGCCTGTTGACATGTTTTGAAAGTATGGAATCGGAGCAGAGTAGAAGAAAACAAGAGGTTTGATTACTATTTTCTACTCTATCTAATTGATAATTGTTTATTCTTCAGGATAATAAAACTATTATGGACTGTTTAGAAGGGAGACATCACCAATTATCAGGTCTGAGTAGGGTTGTCACCCTCGATAATTGTATAATGTGGTATCTTTTATTTCAATCTCACTGGGATATATCGTATGGAACCATTGTTAATTGACAGCACGTCGTCTATATATTTAAATGTCGAGATGAAGGCCACAGCTAGTTTTTTCTTTTTTTACGAAGAAGATTTTTCAAACAAATTCTTCTTCATATGAATATAAAAAAGGTCTGCTAATAACGGGTCTAATTAACTCATCGTAATTCCAATAGATTTTTGGAAAACCTGGTCTCCAAAAACCACATAGATATGTTAATCCGAAACTCAAGCATTTTTAATATCACCTTCAGAGTACTTGTATGTACAATCAGAATGTTTTTTTACAAAATAATTTTGCAAATGACCAATGGTACTGTTACTATATTTACGAGTTTCATTTTCATTGAAAAAAGTTGCTGTTAATGATATCAAAAAGCGTGGACTTTTAATTTATCGTGAGGAATGGTTGTACAAAAAGTTGAAAAGTCGGAAGTATTTATGCTGTTGATTTTGGTAAAAGTTTGTGATTTCAAATTTTCCAAACATTCCTTGGAATTTCATATATCCACATCTGATTTACGTACACCACTTCTTGAATTTTTTGTTGCACAGTGCTCCTTAAGTTTCTCCTTCAATACTGTTGGAATTTCAGCGAGGAGTAAAGAAAGAGGCTTGATTAAACATTTATTGTGTCTTTAAGGATTTTTATGAAGTTTTGGAATCCAATTTAGATATGGTAACTCAAATTTATTCTGGTTGTTTGGAATGATAGAATAAATATTCAAAGCTGACATATAATTTTGAAGAATTTCCTTCTTAGAAAAGGAGCTATGGATATAAGTTGGATGACAACTAGTAAATTAAACCCCTTTTCATCTAAAATACATTATTTATAACGAGCCTTACAAACAAATGCAATGGTGTTACCTGCTTTGTCAACAGGGACTAGCACATACTGTTATCTATCTAATTCTCTTTTTTTTTCAATTCTGATTTAATGAACACAGAAGGATAGTAGGCCTTCATAATATACTAGTATTTAATCCATTTTGACAAAGTGTCAAGGTCTTCATCTCCATGCTTTTCCCATAGCATAGCGTATTCTTCAACAAAATCAATTATATTTATGAAATTCTGAATCCATTGAAAAGATCGGGATTCACAATATACCGTTGAGGGCTTTTACATCTATGCTCGCCACTCAGGGCCATTGTGCTCACAGAGTTCTCTAAATTTCCTAACGCCCACCGTGACAAAGAACCTCAGTTTTTAAAGTCTCATGTGAAAGACCATTGACCTTTAATTCTAGTGCCTTTGCCCTTGTCGAAGGAACTTTATGACTTAGTTTTGACTCTGCGAAAGGGTATCTATTCTTGACCCCACAGTTACGAAGCGAACACCATACCACTAGGCTACCGTGACCGGTGCAATGGTTTAAAAAAGGAATGGTCGTCATTGGTCGATATGCACCATACGATTTTAAATATTGAAAGAAAAAAAAGAAACAACTGAATTCTTAAATATAATCTTTTGATTGAATGTTGACGTATGATTATTTAATTATTGTTGATATCTTTTTAGGTATGTGAAGGAGACACAATAGTAGTTAATGTATACAACAAACTGGAAGGTTCTGATGGACTCTCTATTCACTGGCATGGACTCCATCAGCTTCATACACCACACATGGATGGAGTGTCCATGGTTACTCAGTGCGCCATCCCAGCACACTCGTCATTTCAATACAAGTTAGAATAAAATGATTATTTTAATTTTTAAAATTTATTTGTATCTAAATGTTTCTGAGGAAGTATCTGATTTTTAAAAGTTCGTTCATAAATGGTTCGAGATAATTTGAGGACAGAGAAATATGCAACAAAGTAAATTATAAACTGACAGCCGATAGACAGGTAGACAAAGGCAGTTCAGCGAAAATATCGCATACATTTTTCGTAATTTTGTTGTCGGAAATATCTGGCGATTTTTCTTTATATATCAGGAGTTGGCCATTGAAATTTTATACTTTGTAAAATTTTTATAAATTTAATTTTCAAGACTCTCTTTAACAACTATACAGACATAATAGAAATGTTGGCAAGTTAATTTTTGGCGTATCACTTGGTGCGAAAAATAACTTAATGCAGCGCGCCAAATTTATTTGGTATGATTTTCCAAAATTCATAACTGTAAACCAACTTTAATTTGCGACGACATTATTTTGCGATTTACCAGGTTTAAATTATTTCGCGATCAAACCTTTCTTGGATCTTTTGTTAAAAGAAACAGGGAATTTAAGGACCGGAAATATTCGCGATGACGAGGCTCTCGCGAACCTAGCGAAAAGAACTTTATTCGGTAATAACCAATATTTGCCCCCCAAATCAAACTTTGATGGAGATATATTTAATTAAGCTCTTAAACAGGGGAGTATATGCTGACTTCAAAGCACTGAATATTTTCATAAGTAATGACGCCATATGTACGCAATGACGTCACAAACATGACGTAAATTTCAGTTATTTATGAATTTTACAGAAAAATGTACATATTTCGTCGATATTTTGAGTAAAAGTTACCGAGCGCATGTGTGTTCAGGATCAATATTTTGATATAATGTGTAGAATGATAATATCAATGAAATTTGTCAATATTGTTCCTGAACAAACTTGCGCTCTATAAATTGTAAACTAAAATTGTTGAAATTTTGTCCATTTTGACCTCTTTCTGAAAAAGGATATAAAATGGGACTAGTTTGTGACGTCATAAAAACAAAAATTGTAAATACACTGCTTTGACACTATAATATTTTTTGTTAATTTGTATTTCTCATACAATTTATTCCATTCAGCACATTTCAGGAAGTTTTCAAAATTTTACTTTTGTGGGGGCAAATATATGCAATATACCGCATATAGTTCTTTCTCGCACGCGAACAAAACTTGGTTTACAGTATTAGTAATTCAAATGAAACATATGGAGATAACAAACAGTATCAAGATCAAAAGTCCATAAAACAATACAAAAAAAAGAGCAGAGCAAACACGGACCTCCAAAACATCAGAGGTGGGATCAGGTGCCACTGAGGAGTGAGGATCCCCTGCCGACCGGTCACACCCGTTATGTGCTCCTTGTAAAGATCGGGAAATAACGGAAAAATTTGTCGTCAATTCAGTGTATAAATAATGGACTAACAATAAGTAGGAAAAACGTCTTTCAGCATTTGACTCATTGATAAATTGTATTTGCTGACAAGGTCATTGTTTCGAACATAGAACTTACAAAATGATGACTTTAAACGAGATTGCTGATATTTTTGTTTCATAAACTTGTTTGTCAAAAATTAACCTCGTTTTAGAAATTGTTTATACTTAGAACATGCTCTTGCGTATCGAATTGATCAACTGAGAGATATGAACTCCGTATGGGGGTCATGAAGGTCTATTGCTGCATAAGTAAGGGAAGTTGACGATGGAAAAGTTAAAGTCATCACGTTTATCATAGACGTTGGTTGTTAGATTATCATTAATGTCTTTTTCAAGTAAAATATCCAAGTATGAAACAGATGTGTAAGACTCTGGGTTATCTTTTATCTCAAACTCCCCAGGATATATCGTATCGACATAGTAATGGATATTGCCATTGTTAATTGACAGCACGTCGTCGATATATCTAAATGTCGAGTCGAAGGCCACAGCAGGTGTTTTCTTCTTTCACGAAGCAATTTTGCACAAATTCTGCTTCATATGAATACCAAAATAGGTCTGCTAATAACGGACCGCAATTGGTATCCATGGGGATTCAAATACATTGTTGGAAGACCTTGTCGCCAAAAATCACATTGTTTATCAGAAACTCAAGCTTCTTTTTGATGTAAAGTTCAGAGTACTTGTGTGGAATCAGAATGTGTTTTAACCAAATAATTTTGCAAATGACCAGTGACCAGGTAAGTAAATTTACGAGTTCCATTTGTATTGAAAAAGCAGCTGTCAATGATATCAAAAAGCCAGGACTTAAATTTATCGTGAGGAATGGTTGTGTCTGAAGTTGAAAAGGCGTAAGCTTTTAAGCTGTTGATTTTGGTAAAATCTTGTGATTTTAAATTGTCCAAAAGTTCTTTGGAATTTTTGAGTATCTGCATTTGATTCACAGCACTTGTTGAATATTTTGTTGTACAGTACTCTTGAAGTTTCTCCTTCACAGTATACTGTTAATATCTTAATGAGGAGTAGAGAAAGAGGCTTGATAGTACATTGACTGAAACCGGCAATATGTTCTAATGACGTTTTGGAATGAAGAAGATCTTCCTTAGAAAGGGAACTATGAGTATAAGTTGGATTACCGCTTGTAGAATTAAATACAAGTTCTTCTAAGATACAATTTGTATAATGAACCTTAAAAACGAAGACAATGTTGTTACATGTACCTGCTTTGTCAGCAGGGACCAGTGCGTACGTACTGATCATGTAATCTATCTAGTTCTTTTTTCACTTTTGGATTATTGAGTACAGTAGGATAGATGGTTTTCATATTACCCCTCAATCTTTTAATACGCGATTTCAACATAGATCTGATACTTTTAATCCATTCTTACATATCTGGTCCATTGTCGGGCGTAATTTAAACGGAATTCATACTATTTTTCAAATTTCGGTGAGATAAATGAAAACTTTGTACTGTTTGAAGGTTCAAACCTGACCACCCAGGAACCTACTTTTGGCATTCCCATTCCGGACTTCAGAGAATGGATGGCGTCTTTGGAGCTCTTGTGATACGTCAATCGGATGACAACGAGCCTCATTTTGGACTCTACGACCACGATTTACCAGAACACACAATAATCATAAACGATTGGCTGGTGGAACTAGCAATCAATCGATTTGCCAATCACCATCACGCAGGAGGTGACAATAAACCCGCTTCCATGCTCATTAATGGTACGATCACATTTAAATCTGTACATGTATATATCATAATACACAGTGAAATGAATACGGTTGTCATACTTTTTACGCATGCGCAATTGATTTACACTATGTAGGAACTACAATTTGTCATTTTGACTTAGGGTTCTTTTATGAAGTTATGATACACAAAGACAATCCAAATATTGCGACAAAATAGCATTACAGAATTTACACACTCGGAATTTAAATCTGAGAAACTATTCAGTAAACTTTTGCTTATAAAAAGGAATTTTTTATGACACTTTGAAATGAAAATATATTGGCAAGGGTGACCCACATAATCCACAAACATTTCAGTACCATCACCACCATACGAAAATGCTATATATATATATATATATATATATATATATATATATATATATATATATATATATATATATATATATATATATATATGATCCTTTTTTTCAGGTAAAGGAACATTCTTGGAATTTAGAAATCCATATAATTCCACTATATACACACCTCGTGAGACTTTGAAAGTGGAGCAAGGCAAACGTTACAGAATCCGTCTGATCAGTAACGGGCTAATGAATTGTCCAATTCAGTTCTCTGTAGACAACCACAACCTCGTTGTCATAGCTACAGACGGTTTCCCCGTGCAGCCAATCACGGTTGAATCACTCAACATGTTTGCTGGTGAACGATATGATGTTGTTCTCCATGCAACTCAGTCTGTTGACAACTACTGGATTCGTGCACGCGGTGAAGCGGACTGCGCAGTGAAAAAAGCACACCAAGAGGCCATTCTACATTATCATGGAGCTGCAGAAAGAATTCTAGAGTTATTAACGGAATATGACGCCGGGCATCGGATAGGAAAGGTATATTAAAGAAAAAAAATCAATGATACAAATTTGGATGTTTTTCTGTCTAAATACAGTAAGGATCAACTAATACAGTAACTAAATGTATGACAAACGAGATGCCTTTTATAGCTTTTTCATTGTCAACTTTTTTATTTTAATGTAGAAATATTCCACTGTCACCTGCTTAATGTATAATGTCTCAACAAATTCGGAAGTCAAAAGCTTGCCCTTAGTACCATCAATTTCTAAAGCAAGATTGCTACAAACAGATAAGTTGATGTTACAGGGGTTTCACCTCATTTTACGTTAGCATTCCTTAAGATCTTTGGTCTTTGTAATAAAATTGTTAGCAAATATAACCTTGGATCGTATTTTGTTAAATGGTTTTACACTAAATGTTTGTCCCTTTTGTATACTAGATTTGACCACGCGATATATCTTTGATCAATTCAAGGGGTTCACGGCAGATGTGACTGCTCAACAGCAGATGCATTGTCCTCCTTGGCACCTGATCCGACAGTATAACATATTACTTGAAAGATTGCATAAAAATTCTTTAATATTCACTAAAATACTTGCTACCAGTTTTTACTTCCAAATACGAACAATACCTATCATGAGGAAAGGATGATGTTTGCTGAAAATAAATCAAAACAATAACCTGTACCTTATTTATGGATGATATGATAACACTTTTATCAAATTGAAATTATTGACAAATTCAATAGAAACTAAATCCCTGGAACAAAGCAGAAACTGAGGATCTGATTCCAGTCACCAAACTGATGTCACTTCATGAAAATGACGAGGCTCTGTCTAGAACTCCGGATAAAACTGTGTACATGTCCATGGACTTTAACAAGATTGACAACTACCATTTCCACGATCCCGTACTGTATCCTATTTCTGCAGTGGAGAGATCCAAACACCTATATTTACCACAGATAAACCACATATCGACAATGCTTCCCCCAGCACCACCCCTCACACAGTATAAAGATATTCCTGAGGTAAAGTACATTTAAGTTTTGCAAATGTTTGAATAAAGTACTGGAATTTAAACTTAGAAGTATCACGAAATTGCAAATAAACAAGTTATAAAAGCAGATTTCGACTTTGCTAGAATTCTTAACAGGAAATGCTGTGTGATTCTATGAATGTTGACCGTAACTGCTCGTCTGAATTTTGTGAGTGTGTTCACATTAAAAAGGTTGATCTGGGAGATGTGGTAGAGTTGGTTATAGTGGACGAGGGTAAAACTTTTGACGCCAATCACCCCATGCATCTCCATGGCTACAGTTACAGAGTGGTCTGCAATTTGCAGGGGTTGTGTTTATGTCTTCTTCATAAGCATGTAATGTAAATGCCAGTAGGAACCCTGCCTTTCTAAATATCATGTTAAATTAGCAGTCTTTAAATTCTTTACAAAGAAGGTTATATGTCAATGTCAAGTACATATTACACTGATATTTTCAACAATATTTCATACTAAATGGTATATTCCTATCTCTGAAATCTAAGAATATGCTGTATATTGGCAGAAAAACTCATTTTTGAAATGTTACTTAAAAATGAAGCTTAGGGGTCACAAAGTCGATTACCATGATACTTCAAAAGCTAAAATACCAATGTGTCAGAAAATCACATGCAGGCCTCTTTTAGTCCTAAAGATACAGGGTGTAACAGACGATCAGACAGACAGATAGACAGACAGACAGACAAACAGACAGACCAAAGACAGGCACCGGGGAAAGTCACCCCCTTAGTGTGCTGCTTTGCTCTGCCAGCAAACCGAAAGTATCAAAGAAGGTCACGCTGAAAGCATAATGTGTTCTCAACATTAAATATGATTACAATCATGTCATTTATGTTTATGCCAGCCTTGTAAGATAAAAGATTCATTAATCAAGAGGTCAATTTCGAAATATTGCAAAAGTAATTAATGCTTGGATATCAATTAAAAAAAAAGATTAATGTTTTCCTGTCACTATACACAGATCAATCGATCTACAACCCTCCAGGAGGTTAAAGACTTGGATGCCGCTGGAAGCATATCCAGGAATCTGAATATGTCGGTTATAAAAGACTCGGTAACTGTCCCAGATGGTGGATATACAATTCTCCGCATACACGCCACAAATCCAGGTTAGTTAATATAGCTACATCAATAATCAGAGTAAGAAATTCGAAATATATATTAAACGTTTAGTACATACGTTTATTTTCAGTTAAGAAAATATCAGAAATATCAGAAAATGAGAAACGAATACACACTACCGATCAAGGGTTGGACCCATAGAGCAAATTGATAATTCGAAAATGTTCCATCAACAGAGTACTAGAACTACAGCTTACATTATATTATTAAGCTTCATATAACACGTATAATGTAAACCATCTACAATAATAACTATATAAGCAAATGTTTTCACTTTTGTTGAAAAAATACAGAAAACGAATTAAAATCTTCGCAAAACATGATATTTTATATCTTTTTAGGTTTTTGGTTCTTTCATTGCCATATTGATTTCCATGCAGAGATAGGAATGGGTATTTTTCTACAAGTCGGAGAAGTAAATCAGATGCCAAAACCACCGAACCGTTTTCCAAGATGTGGAAATTGGAAGTATATGGCTGATGAAGAGGAAGAACCATCATGCCCTGTAAACAGCGCCATGAGTACACAATTCGGACCGATGGTTGTGATGTGTGTCTTCTATGTAACCCTCTTATTAAATTAGAATTTATGTATAACTCCTTTTAAACATGATTTCTGGCTTCATATTTGTTCAATGTACTTCCTAACATTTGTCACTGTCAGTTCTTTGAAATTATATCAGGATACCACAGGGTTTGACACATCTATATCATATTTGGAATTAAGCTAGAAAAGACATTAATGGTACACTAACAACAACAAAAATATGATAAACTTGATGACTTAAACTTTTCTATCGTCAGTTACCATACTTACTGTACCCTTATCTTCAGAGGCACCTGAAGTTACTTATTTGTCTTGTATAAAATTTATCCAATATCTAATAATACACAAGATATAAACATCGGCGCCATCTTGATTTTTTTCTAGGTCTATCACATCAACTTGTATTTTCGTTTGAAACTCCGTAAAATAAATTCCCTGTGATCACATTCTTTCTGTGGTCAGTCTTTCGAGGCCCTTACTTGCACACAGTGCAATCAAAAGGTAGCATCACAGGTGAAAATAGAAAAAGATCTTCATCAAACTTGATCTATTGCTTCAAGAATCTTTGAAATTTCAAAAGGGGCAAGTAAGACTATTAATTTTGTTTTATCTCAATAATTATTCTTTTTAATTACTAGTATTTATTATTCTTTTGATTTGCCTTATTTTATTAGAGAGAAATGTTTGGGAAAGAATTTTTTATATTGTGTATTTCAACTTTTAAATTTATATCAAATAAGTATATATATCATAATTGCCTTGTACAGATTTCATACCTACATAAAAACACACACAAATTTATATACACATTTAAACATCTGTGAAAGTTGTTTTTATAGAGAAGAAAAGAGAAAAGAAAAGAAAGGAGGAGAAGAGAGAAACAGAAAAATTAGGAGAAAAAGAGCAAAAAAATACACGGGCATAACGTTTTCCCCCGTACATTGGGGTGAGGGGGGGGGGGTCGTTTCTTAAATAATAAGGTGAATAAATAAGATTTTGAACAATATATTATAAGGCAAAATGCCAGTTTTCGTAGTTAAAAACACTGAAAACTAAATATAAATCCACATTCTACTTTTCAAAAAAGTTAACAGAATTTGGTCATCTTGGAGCCAACAATTGAAGAATTTACGGTGACATGTAGAATAGTACATGTATTTGTTTTTATTTATGTAATATACTGCTTAATTTGTGCTATTCATATAATGTGTTATTCATCTTAGAATAATAAAGATGATTAAAGATTAAATCACGTAAAATTAATTATATCGTATTTTGTTGCTCAAAATGGGAGTACATGGATCAAAAATCTATGTTAGCCCGTTACCATAGCAACCAAGGTAGTAACCTTGATTTTGAATGTTGATTATGTGTAGACATTACACATTTGAAAAAAAAAATCATTAATATCGTTCATGGTGTGTACCACAGCACTACAGTAAGAATTGGTCCTTACAGAGGACTGATGTTAAAATGTGTTGTACCCATAGTTACCAACTACTTAGAGATATATTCTACAGTTTCTCTTTAGCTTAAGTGGCAACAAGGTGTCGTGTTTTGGGGAAAAGGATTTGTTTGTTTTTCCTAGTTCTAATTTAAGCTACATAAGGATTTAAAGTAGCTGCACATCTCAGTTTTTCAAAATTTTCTGACTGTAACCATGGCAGCCAAGACCCATAGAAATCAAATTTCATCTGAAATATGTATTTTTGTGTAAAGTACAAAAATAGGGGAAATTTCCTCAAAATCGGTGACTATACGTGGCAAAGAAGTTTAAGTGGTTACAGAGAATGGCTATTACTTATGAGGCCAAAAAATATTCATAGAAAACCCAATAAATTGTTGGAGAGTTTATCAGCATCTCTTCTAATATCATTTCAGATTTGGTATACAGAATGTATTTTAGCAAAATAACCTTGCTATGGTCCAATGACAAGGTAAGTTAATTTACAGGTTCGATTTCTATTGAAAATGCAGCCGTCAATGACGTCACAGAGCCTGGACTTTAATTTAACATGGGAATGATTGTACGAAACATATGGAGAAAACGAACAATACTCAAGAACAAAAGTCCACAAAACAGTAAAAAAAAAAAAAAAAAAATAGGAGCGGAGCAAATACTGACCTCCAAAAAATCAGAAGTGAGATCAGGTGTAATGTAGGAGTGACCATCTCCTGTCGACCGGTCACAATAGCCGTGTGCTCCTTGTCATTATCAGGAAATGAAAAAATCCGTCGTCAATTCAATGTTTAAAAATGGACTAACAATTAGCATATGCCTCAATGATAAATTGTATCTGCTGACAAGGTCATTGTATCAATCATAGAGCTTATGAAATGATGACGACTTTAAACGAGACTGTTAATGTTCTTGTTTCATTAAATTTTTGTCCAATAAATTACATCGTTTTAGAAATTATTCATACGTAAACCATGCTCTTGCGTATCGAATCAACAGAGATATATAAACTTCGTATGCAGGTGGTGAAGGTATATTGCTGCATAAGTGAGGGAAATTGACGATAGAAAGGTAAAGGCCATCACTTTTATCATAGAGCTTGGATGTTAAATTACCATGAACGTCTTTTTCAAGTAAAATATCCAAATATGAAACAGACGTGTCAGACTCTGTGGTATCTTTTATCTCAAGCTCACCAGGATATATCGTATCGACATAAAAATGGAAATTACCATTGTTAATTGACAATACATTGTCGATATATCTAAATGTCGAGTTGAAGGCCACAGCAAGTGTTTTTTTTCTCTTTTCACGCATAAGAATGTTCACAAATACTGCTTCATAGGAATATAAAAAAAAGGTCTGCTAATAACAGAGCGCAATTGGTACCCATGGGATTTCAATAAATTAATGGAAGACCAGGTCTCCAAAATTCACATAGATATTGCCACTCAGAAACTCATGTATCTTTTTGATGTCAACTTTAGAGTACTTGTTTGTACAATCAGAATCTTTATAAAAAAATTATTTTGCAACTGACTAATGACAAGGTAAGTAAAATTACGAGTTCCATTTTTCAATGAAAAAGCAGCAGTCAACGATATCAAAAAGCCTGGACTTTAGTTTATCGCGGGGAATGGTTGTGTATAAAGTCGAAAGTATCTAAGCTGTTGATTTTGGTAAAATCTTGTGATTTCAAATTGTCCAAAAGTATCCACATCTGATTTTCACCGATTGTTAAAGATATTTGTTGCACAGTACTCTTGAAGTTTCTTCGTCACTACTGTTGAAATCTTAGTGAGGAGTAAAGAAAGAGGATTGATTAAACATTTACTGGAACCCGCTATGTACCTTTGTTTTAAAGGATTCTTATGAAGTTTCGGAATCCAATATATATATGGTAGTTCAAATTCATTTTGGTTCTTTGGTATATTAAATATATTCAAAACTCACATATGATTTTGAAGAATTTCGTCCTTAGAAAGGGAGTATGAATATAATTTAGATTACCACTTGTAGATTTAAATCCAATTTCTTCTAAAATACAATTTAAATAATGAGCCTTTAAAACGAAGACAGTGTTGTTTCCTGCTTTTTCAGCAGGTATAGTTTTGAATAGGCGTTCGTTTTGGAGTCTACAGACCTACCACTATAGGATATAAAGGAAAGAAATGTGATAAATTTTGAAAACGAAATACATTTTTAACCCTGTTAAAGGGTACCCACCCTCTGATAAGAGAGATAACTTTCAAAGTACATGTACAAAATATGAATACTACTCATATTTTTTTTATCAGTTTCCTAATAATGAAACATAAGTAATATGATATTTCTTGGCTTTGGCTGACCCTCGGGGAATATGATTTTTCTTGGCTGAATAAATCTTCATGTTTCCCGAATATTCTTGCTATAAATTGTTTATTATACCGAAACAATTTTTAAAATAAACAAATCAACGAACGATAACATTATTTTACGGGAAAATGCATTAGGTTTCCGAAGAGGAGAAATATGATGAAAAGCGTGTCGACGACAGGGAAAATTGAAGTTTTATGGTCCGGTCACGTGATAATCTAGAACCAATCAGATTATATGTTATGTAGAATAATTATAATGAGGTGTAATTATAAGTAATTTTTTACATATACATCTCATTTTTTTTTTATTTTATATTGTGATAATAAATCGTTACTCATTCTGTTCTATGTGTTGAAATTTAATCATAACATGATCTAACATAAAAATGGATCATGTAAATCAATATTAGAAATTTTAAATTTTCTTAGTGAAATTTATAGCAGAGGGTCGGGACCCCTTAAGTGTAAGTCTGCTACATCATACTGAGTTTTCTTTTGATGTAGTAGCTTTTTGAAAAAATCATCTTCATTAAAATACAAAAACAGCTATAGGTTGTAAAGCAGGGTAAATAAAATTTCCAATATATTCCTTGGACTTTGCAACTGGGCCATAAAACTTAAGCATGCTTACTTTGTTATCTCTATCTAACTTTTAAAAAGTTATAAGAAAAGTTAGACCAAGATCGAAATTAGGCTCATGTAAAATAGATATATGGCCCCGGAGTCTCCAAAAAAGCATATTATGCAAACTAGTACATATTATGAAAGCAGTTTGTGCATATGTACCAAATGATGTCTTTTTAAGAGTCAAACTCAAGAGAGTATTGCCAGTTTAGTTTTCTTTTTTATTAAGAAAGCAGTTATCTAAAATCAATATGAAGAAAGCAACGAAGAATCAATGTATTTAGAATTACTTTAAATTTACCATGGTATCCATATTGTTTTATTTTTTCTAAGTGGATCATTTATATCTATGTTCTAATGATACGAAATTCCTCAATTGTGAAAAATGTTATCAATAACATGTATCGTTTGATTTTCATTAATAGTAAAAATTTTCAAAGTTATACGTGTGGCAAATTCTTGTAGAGGAATAAGACCCCCCTAGAATGATTTTTTTTCCTAAAAATCTAGCATTTGAGAGTGATTTCAAAAGATTTTCATTAAAAAAATCGTTTAGAAAAATATTTTTTAATAAACACTATCCTAAAATTGGAAATGTTAACTATAATTTCTGAAAAAAAAAATTGAATCAAAATAAACTGATCCTTTTTATTCGATTTTCCATGATATAGCACAAATTAAGATCAGGCTTTTCTATGAATATTTTAATACAATATACATGCAGTGAATTTATAGTTCGAATAAAAACTAGCTTGAAAGAGTAACTTTCTCTAACAAATTACTCCACCACAACAACGTTGAAATCTATAATCGTACGCCTTAGTACCACAACAACTAGTACCTTGGGCATTTGAGGTTATGACTCCACCACAACATCGTTGATTTCGATAATCGTACGCCTTAGTTCCACAACAACTAGTACCTTGGGCATTTGAGGTTATGACTCCACCACAACATCGTTGATTTCGATAATCGTACGCCTTAGTTCCACAACAACTAGTACCTTGGGCATTTGAGGTTATGACTCCACCACAACATCGTTGATTTCGATAATCGTACGCCTTAGTTCCACAACAACTAGTACCTTGGGCATTTGAGGTTATGACTCCACCACAACATCGTTGATTTCGATAATCGTACGCCTTAGTTCCACAACAACTAGTACCTTGGGCATTTGAGGTTATGACTCCACCACAACATCGTTGATTTCGATAATCGTACGCCTTAGTTCCACAACAACTAGTACCTTGGGCATTTGAGGTTATGACTCCACCACAACATCGTTGATTTCGATAATCGTACGCCTTAGTTCCACAACAACTAGTACCTTGGGCATTTGAGGTTATGACTCCACCACAACATCGTTGATTTCGATAATCGTACGCCTTAGTTCCACAACAACTAGTACCTTGGGCATTTGAGGTTATGACTCCACCACAACAACGTTGAATCCGATAATCATATCTTCGATTCCCACAAATACCTGTTTAAAAATTGAACGGACGTTTAGTTCTACTAGTTGTAGAAACAGTAATAGGTTAGTCTATTTGTATAGAATTATTATAGTCATGACGTTTTATTTGCGTTTTCTTATATTCACAATATTCATAAAAATCTTCTATGTAAAACATATCCAAATTTGGAAGTAAATTAATGGAGAAGTTACTCCTCATATTAAGTAGTTAATGTTGTAAGCAAAACAATTTTTGGAAAACTCCGAATAAGGAAAATAAATGAGCTGTTTATTAATATGTTTTTAAAACAAAATTTATTTTGACTTTTGGTGACCATTGTTATCATAGTCATGCAAGCTGTCCATCTTCATTCAGTGTAACGAATACAGGTAAACAAACTAGCTACAATATTGTTTATTTAGTTTTTTAAAAATTCACAGTGTAAAAAGAGGCATCTGTACTTCGAAATCTGAAATACTAAATGGCCCCTTGTTAAAAAAAGCTGCAGAATTGCAGGTCTATTGATGGGAAAATTCCCATGTACAAGAGAGAGATCGAAGCATTGCATTTAGCATGATATGTTGAAATAGCGATGTGACAATCAATTGATCCAGTATTTCTTATTTCCTAAATTATTTATTTCCAATATCCTTAATTATAACTACGTGATAACACTACCCTCTAAATAAAAAAGGATAAGGCAACTGCAAGTGACGGGGCCCCCTCTATTTTTTTTAGCATCATAACATTTTTTCCCTTTAACATCTGATTTAACATTAGCATTAGCATTAACTTTAACATTAGGATTTAAGATTTTGAATCAAAAATATTCAAAAATATATATCCGAAAAAAGCATACAACTAAACATTATCGTGATATATATGGCGATAACGAGCAGTTTACAGACTCTCAGAATTTCATTAAAACAGCAAAAATCAGGAGCAAAGCAAACACAGACCTCTAAAATATCAGAGGTGGGATCAGGTGCTATAGAGGAGTGAGCATTTCTTGTCGACCGGTCACAGCCACCGTGAAATTCTTGTTATGATCGGGGAAAACCGGGCAAAAATCTGTCGACAATTCCGTGTATAAAAGAATAAGAGTTGTACATTTTACACCAGAAGAACATTTTTTAAAAGAAAATCTGGTAAAAGTAGCCTTGCGTGCTAATAGAGTTACTATGTATTCTGTATGCGCACTAACTGGCCTGATTTCCAAAGAAATAATGGTCATATCACTATAGAGTAAACACAGCCACACTATAAAACAACATACTATAATATTCAATTATATATAGACAATAAAATTAAATTATTTACAAAAAATAAAAGAAGAAACAAACCTCTTTTATAGAATGAATCAGCAACTTGAAAGCACAGAAGATAAGCTATTGAAAAATACAAAATCATGTTAAATTTCTTCTTTTAAATAGCTTAAATGGCAAGTGTCAATTAACTTATGGATATAGGACTTTAAATACTGTTAAAAATCAATAGATGAGGTAGATTTCCACAAAAGTTTGCCTGACTCTGAATACCAATTTCAAATCTTTGTTTTCGAAAAATGATATAGTCATTAAGATGAGAACAACAACAGGTGTACGGTATTATATATTTTCAATAAAAAGATAAATCATTTCGAGTTTATGTTAAAGAGGCATACGAGCCGTTATTTTATAAGCATTCTGAAATTTCAAATACTAGAATACGAGCAGTTTCTAGACAAAGCAGGAAATGATTTACAGATCAAGCCAGTGATAAACCCTGAAACAGATTGGAGAGAATTCAAGTCCTGTAGAAAAGGGTTTCTCCAATATAAAATCCCCGCGGAAATCTGGCTCGAGATCTAGAACAAAATATCCCCTCGCTGATAACTGGCTACAGAGAAGGATTTCCCACACGAACAAAGTAATACTCAAGAGTAGGATTTCCTCTACGGAAATCCTATATCAAAGTCGATTCCCGGTGTGTGCGTGTAAGGGTGTGAGAGAGAGGATGTGTGTGTGTGTGTGTGTGTGTGTGTGTGTGTGTGTGTGTGTGAGAGAGAGAGAGAGAGAGGGTGTGGGTGTGTGTGTTTGGGGGTGGGGGTCTCACACTGTTTGCAACATTTGTAAAATGATTCCCCCCTCAGCCAACCCCCACCCCCCGAAATAAAATAGCATGGCTTATTATGGTTACATATCATATAGTTGACACATTATTACCTGTGTACCTTCTTGAATGGCACATCCAGTTCCATTGAAATTATTAATTCTAATAAAAATTGCAAATTTTGATTTCATTTTGCTTTGGTCGCACGCGTGGTGCAGTGGTTAGAGCGTCTGCTCGAGAGTCGCGAAGTAAGGAGTTGATCCTCACGTCGCGGGTTCAAATCCCGCTGTGAGACGTGGAGACCGGTCCTTCGGATGAGACCGTAAAAACCGAGGTCCCGTGTCGCAGTAGGTGCTCGCACGAAAAAGATCCCTCCCAGCTCAATGGGCCTGAGTGCCGATTATAGGACAAAATTTGAATCTCTCCACCGGCAAGTGGTGGCGTCTCCATATGAGTCAATCATTTTGTTTTGTCTAAGAAACTAACCAACCCATTCTCTTAAACATCAAAATCTGTTCATGTGGTCAATCTGGCTTAGATAAATGGTACAGTGTAATCGGCTTTACAAACATTAAGCTGTATCCATGGAATTTTATTTGAAATGGATTTTTCCCTCGAATTGTATTTCAAACTACATGTATTACTAACTTATGTGGAGGACCGTGTTTGCTCCATTTCTATTTTGTAATGTTTAATGGACCTTTTTAGCTTGAATACTGTTCGTTATATCCACAAAAGTCATATATATAATACTGAATTTCTCTCCAAGTTTCAGGAAGTTAAATACATGTATACCGAAAGTAGTTGACATAAAACTAAGAATATGTTCATTTATTCCCCCCCCCCACTCCAAAAAAAAATCACACAGCAGGGGTTAAAGGAACATACTAATCATTCGACCTGCAAAAGACTGTATTTTTCTAACTGATTAATTTTTTCTTTCGCTTGACCCCTCGGCAGGGGATGCTCATTCCTCCATGGCATCTGATATAACCTCATGTTTAGGAGGTCCGTGTTTGCTCTGCTCCTATTTTGTATTGTTTTATGGACTTTTGATTTTGAATACAATTCGTTATCTCCATATAATTGGATTCCAAATCTTAGAATCCTTGCAAACAAAGATACATATCGGGTTCCAGTAAATGTTCAACCAAGCCTTTTTCTTTACTCCTCACTAAGATTTTAACAGTAGTGACGGAGAAACTTTAAGAGTACTGTGTAACAATATATTCAAGAAGTGGAGTAAATCAGATGTAGATACTTAAAAATTCCAAGGAACTTTTGGACAATTTGAAATCACAAGATTTTACCAAATTCAACTGCTAAATAACTTACGACTTACTGGACTTACTTACTAAAGCAGAATTTATGCAAAATCTAATTCGTGAAAAGAAGAAAACATTTGTTGCCTTCAACTTTATATTTAGATATATCGTCGACGTATTATCAATTAATCGTAATCCTGGTGAGCTTGAGAAAAAAGATACCACAGAGTCTGACACATCTGTTTCATACTTGGAAATTTCACTTGAAAAAGACGTTAAGGTAATCTGACAACTAAGCTCTATGACAAACGTGATGACTTTAACTTTTCTATCGTTAACTTCCTTTACTTATGCAGCAATTTACGTTCATCACCTGCATACGGAGTTAATGTACCTGAGTTGATTCGAAACACAAGGGCATGATCTACGTATGAACAATATCTAAAACAAGGTAAATTATTGACAAACAAGCTGATCAAACAAGAACATCAGCAGTCTCGTTTAAAGTCATCATTTCGTAAGTTCTATCGTCCATGCAATAACCTTGTCAGCAAATACAATTTATCAATGAGTCATATGCTGACTGACGTTTTTCATACAAATTGTTAGTCCATTCTTTATACACTGAATTGACGAGGGATTTTTCCGTTATGTCCCGAACATGCATATGGCAAGGAGCACACGGCGGGTGTGACTGGTAAGCAGGGGATTCTCACTCCTCCAGGGCACCTGATTGCACTTTTCTGTTTTGGAGGTCCGTATTTGCTCTATTGTTTTGTATTGTTTAATGGACTTTAGATCATCTTGAATACTGTTCGTTATCTCCATATGTGTCATTGAAAAAATCTCACAAAATTGTATTCTGAACAGTATCAATAACATTAGTAGAACATTTTCTAGCACACTCTTTGTTAAAAGATCCATAGGCGTCGGAATCAGGGGGTGGGGTGGGTGGGGGTGATATTAAAAATATGTATACTATCTAGTCTTAAGATTTTATACTAAATATGACAATTCTTGATTTGAAAGCACCCATATTTCAAGGAAAAATTCATTTAAACTTCATTTACTCTTTAAGATATCTAGTACCGGTATTTGTTGACAGGGTCATTTTATCGACAATAAAATTTGCAAAATGTTGATTTTAAACAAGACTTTTGATAACTATGTATGATTATTAAATTTGTCGAAATATTTCTTGTGTTCGCTTTTTTGTTGTTGTTTAATTGTATGTTATTTAACGTTCCTTTAGAGAATTATTCATTCTGAGTCGACGCCACCACTTACCGAAGGACGGCTGTAAATTTAGAATAAAATTCGGCAATCATGGTCATTAAGTAGTGAACGATCCTTTTCGTGACAGCTCCTACTGTGACAAGGGACCTGAGCTTATAAGGTCTCATTCGATTGATTGATTGATTGTATATTGTTTAACGTCCCTGAGCACTTATATGGAGACGTCACATGCCGGTGAAGGGCTTCAAATTTTGACCGGTCTCGGCACTTTCCCGCAATGCGATGGATTCGACACACCGCCTGCTTCTTTTAAAATGTGTTCTAAACTAAAAAGCTAATGCATACATACATATATATATATATATATATATATATATATATATATATATATATATATATATATATATATATATATATATATATATATATATATATATATATATAAAAGATCTACCGAAAATGTGTTCAATAATGGATTCGAACCCGCGATGTAAAGACCAATGCATTACTCTGCATACTTTTAAAATGTGTTCATATATATATATATATATATATATATATATATATATATATATATATATATATATATATATATATATATATATATATATATATATATATATATATATATATATATATATATATATATATATATATATATATATATATATATGATTGTTTTGTTTTTTTTTAATTGTTTGATGGAATTTTCAGGTTGAATACAGTTCGTTATCTCTGTTTATTTCATTGTTTTCCTAAGCTTAAGATATCAAACAAAATTTGTTATACTGAATTGAAATAAAATTGTTTCGGACAACCTCCTTTGCAGATTTAAACTCGAAAGGTGTAAAGAAATATTTTTCTGTAGGCAAAATCACAGGTAAATATATTGTAAAATCACTTTTGAAGCACATATTTACTAAACCGCGTGAAATGCGTGATCAGGTAACAAAAGAAAGCTTTGTAAATTGTCAAGCTGGTAGTGCATGTAAAAGTTTGGGTGTCTTTGTTAGCTCCACTCCCTTCTGTATTACGTAATAGACTTTAAGCTTGAATACTGTTTGTTATCACATTATCTCATTAAATTACATAAAAAATAACAGAATATCAATATTCTGATGTCTAAATTTTCATTCCCTTTTAACGAGACAAACGTCAATATGTTATTGGTTAAGAATCTATTCTCAAATTGTGAACTAAAGCTTGTAATCAACAGTTGCTCAAGCGCACTTAGTTGTGCATGTTTCAGTGAATGTCAAGTTAGTTGCTGTACGTATGAACAATTTCTAAAACGAGGTGAATTATTGACAAAGAAGACGATGAAACAAGAATATTAGCAGTCTCATTTAAAGTCGTCATCATTTCGTAAGTTTTATGGTCGATACAATGACGATGTCAGCAAATACAATTTATCTTGGAGTCAAATGCTGACTAGTGTTTTTCATACTAATTGTTAGTTCATTATTTATAAACTGAATTGACAACGGATTTTCCCGTTCTTTCCCAATCATGACAAGGAGCACATTGCGAGTGTGACCGGTCGGCAGGGGATGCTCACTCCTCCATGGCACCTGATACCGCCTCTGATGTTTTGGGGGTCCGTTTTTGCTCTGCTCCTATTTTGTATAGTTTGATAGACTTTTGATCTTGAATGGTGTACATTATCTCCTGTGTTTCATTGCATAAAAATACATACATGTAGATATAAAGCACGCAAAACTAGCCCAGTATCATTATAAAGATAGCTGTGATATTTATTCTTGAAGATACGATTCGTTTTTGGGAAAGGTACAAATTTTATTGAAGTATATACCTTTA